ATCTGTCTCAAAAAAATGGTAAAAAATTCATTTGGGTACAGTGTTGCATGACTGCGCAACTGTCATTCAAAGTGTGATAGCGCTGAAAGCTGAAAACTGCCCTGGTCAGGAAGGGGGTAAAAGTGTCCGGACTGGAAGTGGTTAATACAGAAAAAAAGGAAAAATGAGGTGCTAAGTGCAAGTGCTTTGCTTTAGTCTTTGGGAGGGGCAGGAACAGATTAATACAGGGCAGAGCTATAGAAGAAGCCTGGAAATGACAGATCCACCACTGCCACCCAAATCCAATATAAATGCTTCAGTGGCATTGGCTTCGCTACCAGCAAATACACTGCAGGGATCTCAATACGTTTCACTGTTTCCTCAAAGCATGCCCTGGCTCTCCAAAGGTTTTACAATATGGGGACTGAAATTGACATTTTAACCATGTAAAATTCTATCCACTCCAAGACTGTGTGCATTTCCTTTTTAATTGCAGCATTTTTTTTTTTTTTCCTATTTGAATCCTGTTTTGACTGGAACCGCATTTGGCAACAATCACAATGTGTGCATGAAAGGAGCAATTATCACGCAGCACCATCATTGCATTGTTACTCTGAAGAGGCTCTTTTCACGCCAGGCCTCACTTCGCCCCGTGTGTGGGTCACATCTGCATTCTGCTCAGCCATTTCACAGCGTGACAATATATCTCACTTAACTGCAGATGAAATGATTTCAAAACATAAAGATAATTTATTGCGGTTTGTTTAATTGTGCTCACCAACTACAAGCCATAAGGTAAACTGCCCCATAAAACAGCCACCATATATAATTATGGAAGCATAATATTTGTGTCTATATATATATATTTGTCTTGCTTGTTTTCATTTCATAATTTGTGGGTCTTTTTTTCTATTTAAAGGGTGAGTCCACCCAAAATGGATTTATCAGTTTTGGGTAGATGCTAGTGGATTTTTCCGAACTTGTCAGATTTGATAAAAACAAAAGGGGACTTTAGAAGGGGTGCCTCACCCTGAAATTTTTTGTCTCTATTCCCCCACCTCAACTTTACAAATTTTGCTCTTTTTTTTTTTCCTTGCTGGAAAGCAATGTGACATTTTCTGAGTTTGCCTTAAAAATACAGAGAAAGCAACTTTAAGGCTGGCCATACATTATACAATTTTCTTGAGATTTTTGGTTTAGATTTACCAAAAACCATATAATATGAGGTCAAACCTAACAATACTTTCAACTGTATACAATTAGGCAGGCTCTTTCACTACATAATTGAAGGTAAATCTAAAGGAAATTGGGCAGAAACTGGACAGAAAATTGTATAGTGTATGGCCAGCCTAACAGGGTGGTATAATTCAGAGATCACAGCTTTAAAACCTATGTAAACCCAAAAACAAAAATATAATATATTGCAGCTTAAAGTGTTACTAAACCCGCAACAGTAAAATCAGACTGTTTATACAGTAAAGCATGCTTGTTATTATTACAGGTACTTACATAGCGCCATCAATTTACACAGCGCTTTACACACATATATATATATATACACACACACATATATATATATATATATATATATATATATATACATACACAGACATTGTATATATATATATATATATATATATACACACAAATATATATATATATATATATATATATATATATATATATATATATATATATATATATATATATATATATATCTATCATTCACATCAGTCAAGCGGCATACAATTAAGGTCCCTAACTTAGATTCATACACACACATACTAGGGACAATTTAGACAGGAGCCAATTAACCTACCAGCATGTCTTTGCTTGTTATATTCACTGTGGAACCTAAGGGGTTAATCCTCTGCATTGTGTAAAAAGGCTGTTTGATCCTGTCTTCTTTGCCCCTCCTCTTGTTGAAAATGACCACCTGATACAGACTGAATCCGTAGTCACATGAACATGCTCAGTTTGGTGTGTATTGCTAGAGAGGTTTTCTTTTTCTTGGGAGAGTGCATGTGATCAGCACAGGGCCATTCAGCACTGTCTAGACCAGTGGTGGGCAACCTTTTTTTTCAACTGAGCCAAATCTCGCCAAAACCATGATTGAAATTTATTTTGAGAGCCACATTTTTAAAACTGAAAATACATCTCCCATATAGTAATTCATCCCCCATAGTAATTCATCCCCCATAGTAATTCATCCCCCATATAGTAATTCATCCCCCATAGTGTAATTCATCCCCCATAGTGTAATTCATCCCCCATATAGTAATTCATCCCCCATAGTAATTCATCCCCCATATAGTAATTCATCCCCCATATAGTAATTCATCCCCCATATAGTAATTCATCCCCCATAGTAATTCATCCCCCATATAGTAATTCATCCCCCATAGCAATTCATCCCCCGTATAGTATTTCTTCCCTCGTATAGTATTTCATCCCCCGTATAGTATTTCATCCCCCGTATAGTATTTCATCCCCCGTATAGTATTTCATCCCTCGTATAGTATTTCATCCCCCGTATAGTATTTCATCCCCCCATATAGTATTTCATCCCCCATATAGTAATTCATCCCTCATATAGTATTTCATCCCTCATATAGTATTTCATCCCTCATATAGTATTTCATCCCCCCATATAGTATTTCATCCCTCATATAGTATTTCATCCCCCCATATAGTATTTCATCCCTCATATAGTAATTCATCCCTCATATAGTAATTCATCCCTCATATAGTATTTCATCCCCCCATATAGTATTTCATCCCCCCATATAGTATTTCATCCCCCCATATAGTATTTCATCCCTCATATAGTATTTCATCCCCCCATATAGTATTTCATCCCTCATATAGTATTTCATCCCCCCATATAGTATTTCATCCCTCATATAGTATTTCATCCCCCCATATAGTAATTCATCCCTCATATAGTATTTCATCCCTCATATAGTAATTCATCCCTCATATAGTATTTCATCCCTCATATAGTATTTCATCCCCCCATATAGTATTTCATCCCCCCATATAGTATTTCATCCCCCCATATAGTATTTCATCCCTCATATAGTAATTCATCCCTCATATAGTAATTCATCCCTCATATAGTATTTCATCCCTCATATAGTATTTCATCCCCCCATATAGTATTTCATCCCTCATATAGTATTTCATCCCCCCATATAGTATTTCATCCCTCATATAGTATTTCATCCCTCATATAGTATTTCATCCCTCATATAGTATTTCATCCCTCATAAAGTATTTCATCCCTCATATAGTATTTCATCCCTCATATAGTAATTCATCCCCCATATAGTAATTCATCCCCCATACAGTAATTCATCCCCCATATAGTATTTCATCCCCCCATATAGTATTTCATCCCCCCATATAGTATTTCATCCCTCATATAGTATTTCATCCCCCCATATAGTATTTCATCCCTCATATAGTATTTCATCCCTCAAAGTATTTCATCCCCCCATATAGTATTTCATCCCCCCATATAGTATTTCATCCCCCATATAGTAATTCATCCCCCATATAGTAATTCATCCCCCATATAGTATTTCATCCCCCCATATAGTATTTCATCCCCCATAGTAATTCATCCCCCATATAGTAATTCATCCCCCATATAGTATTTCATCCCCCCATATAGTATTTCATCCCCCATAGTATTTCATCCCCCCATATAGTATTTCATCCCCCATATAGTATTTCATCCCTCATAAAGTATTTCATCCCTCATAAAGTATTTCATCCCTCATATAGTATTTCATCCCTCATATAGTATTTCATCCCCCACAGTACTATCCCCCCCTTCTAGTAAGCCAAGTCCCCCGTGTCAATTCACTTACCTTTTGCGTTCCTCTCGCTGTCTTCCCGCGCCGTTCGGGTCTTCAGGGCGGACTGTGAGAGGAGCCTAGCTCCCCTCCCCTCACGTTCGGCACGCTGCCCCGCCTACACACATCCTGACAGCCACATCCGCGGGCCGGATTAAAAGGTCCGCGCGGACTTTTGGGGCTGCCAACCGAGAGGAGGCAGGGGAGCGGCCGACCGAGAGGAGGCAGGGGAGCGGCCGACCGAGAGGAGGGAGGGGAGCGGGCGCCCGGCACACAGAAGAGCCGCATTAGAGTGGGTAAAGAGCCGCATGTGGCTCGCGAGCCGCGGCTTGCCGACCACTGGTCTAGACAGAGGGTCAAGAGTTTCACATCCTCCTAGAGCAGAAAGAACACACTCCTCCTCCTATAAGCTTTAACCAGTGCTCTGCTGAAGTCACAAGACTGCTCTAACTGCTGATGAGAAAAAGGTATTTAGCAGTTTATATTTACTAAAATAATTGCATATACATGTTGTGTGTATTATGGAAGACCAGATATAGTGAATGCAGGGTCCGGGGAGACCGGATATAGTGAGTGCAGGGTCCGGGGAGACCAGATATAGTGAATGCAGGGTTCAGGGAGACCAGATATAGGGAGTGCAGGGTCCAGGGAGACCAGATATAGGGAGTGCAGGGTCCAGGGAGACCAGATATAGTGAATGGAGGGTCCGGGGAGACCGGATATAGTGTCTCTGCAGGGTCCGGGGAGACCAGATATAGTGAATGCAGGGTACGGGGAGACCAGATATAGTGAATGCAGGGTCCGGGGAGACCAGATATAGTGAGTGCAGGGTCCAGGGAGACCAGATATAGTGAGAGGGTCCAGATATATATAGTGAATGCAGGGTCCGGGAGACCAGATATAGTGAGTGCAGGGTCCGGGGAGGATATAGAGAGGGTCCAGATATATGGTGAATGCAGGGTCCGGGGAGACCAGATATAGTGAGATGCAGGGTCCGGGGAGACCAGATATAGTGAGTGCAGGGTCCGGGGAGACCGGATATAGTGAGTGCAGGGTCCGGGGAGACCAGATATAGTGAGTGCAGGGTCCAGGGGAGACCAGATATAGTGAATGCAAGGCCTGGGAGACCAGATATAGTGAATGCAGGGTCCGGGGAGACCAGATATAGTGAGTGCAGGGTCCAGGGAGACCAGATATAGTGAGTGCAGGGTCCAGGGAGACCAGATAGTGAGTGCAGGGTCCGGGGAGACCAGATATAGTAAGTTCAGGGTCCGGGGAGACCAGATATGGTGAATGCAGGGTCCGGGAGACCAGATATAGTGAATGCAGGGTCCGGGGAGACCAGATATAGTGAATGCAGTGTGCGGGGAGATCAGATATAGTGAATGCAGTGTGCGGGGAGATCAGATATAGTGAGTGCAGGGTCCGGGGAGACCAGATATAGTGAATGCAGTGTGCGGGGAGATCAGATATAGTGAGTGCAGGGTCCGGGGAGACCAGATATAGTGAATGCAGTGTGCGGGGAGATCAGATATAGTGAGTGCAGGGTCCTGGGTTAGTAACACTTTAAAGTATAATTTCATGCTAAACCTAGCTATTCTTAAAAATGCTCCCCCCCTTCTCCTAACACCATGGTGCACAGATTACACTGGAACGGTCACCTCACCCACTAAGTCTTCACATGCTTAAACATGAGACCAAGATAGGCTACCTGTAATTGTAAATATTCATTATCTTTCATATACAGTTTCCACCAATGAGACACTTGTTAATTATTACACTTGCCCAGAGTTCTACTTCTTGTCATCTAATAACTTCCTGTGCTCTCTACCCATCTTGCACGCTTCTTGTTGATATTGTTCTGATGACTACAGGGTCCCCAACCCCATCTATATTATGTTCAAAGGAATGGAGGCGTTCTTGGTAGTCCACTCCTGTTTCTGCTATCCTGATACAGTACAGCAAGTGAGTGTTGTCACTTTGCAAAAGAAGCGTTACTGGCTGACTTCACAGTAATGTCTTGCAGTTTGGCCGCAGCATAGGTATATCCAGCAGTTTTTATACAGTTAACTTGCAGCTTCCCACACACTTTATATTAGATTGTGCATTTTTGGTGCGTTTTCCGAAAACGCACCGAAGTTGGAGCATGCGGGACTTTTGTGCATTTTTAGAAAACGCAACAAAAATGCGCAATATAGTAGAAAGTCTATGCAAAACCATGGGTTAACCACATGAAAGTTGTGGGTACACCTGAGCTGCAGCCAGGGGCGTATTTACCACAAGGCAAACAAGGCATTTGCCTAGGGCAGTAATTTTCAGCACTGCCCCCCAGAAGAAGGGACACATGCGGCATGGGGACCAGGTGGGATCTGAGAGAGGCTGCAGGCTGCTTGACGGTGTATGCAAAGCCCGACTTTTCTCTCTCTTTCTCCAGGAAGAGGGGTGGGTTGCATGTTAGTGGAAGGCTCTCTTGGGTGGGGGGCAGGGGTGTTGTTGGTCAATGTCAGGCTCTTTCCATCTTTCCATGGGGGGGAGGAATGTTGGTTGGTATCAGGCTCTCTTCCCCGGGGGGATTGCCTCCGCTTTTTTGGTTGCCTTGGGCAGCACAAAACCAAACTACACCACTGGCTGCAGCCAAACCGCAGCACAGCGGTGTGAAACCGGCCTAAAGGAAAGAAGCTTTTCCAACAACTGGAGAGTGTAAACACATAGATAAACAATCCATTCATTTCTATGCAGTCAAGTAAGCTCTTAAAACGGCCACACACATTGCAATCTATTTAGATTTGCTAACTGATAAATAGCAGGATGTACTACTTGACTTTATATTAATGGAATTGGATAGCTTACATTTATAGAATACATTTGGCAATACAAAAATCCAACATTCTCTGATTTTCACAATGTTTCAGGCCAGGGACTCCCAAGTATCAGAGTCAATAGGTCAGCATAACAGACAGGTAAAATTATTACTTTCAGGAAGATATTGGCAATGGCAGCCCAGATATTTCTCTAATTAAATGTTTACTTTAAAGAACACCGGAATTATTAACAGTTAGACTTCATCTTGGAAGATTGTGACTGGCTCACTGACTTCAGCACCTCACTACTGCATTGGTCCTTCATAGATGAAGAGTCCCCCAGACCAACAGCGAGGTGTAGGAGCTCGTCCTTTTGAGTTGAGGTCTAAATTTGCATAACCGAGGGACTCCCAGGTATTAGGTTTCCCAAGGTACTCAGTACATAAAAACACACATTTTAGGGTCCTTCTTGCAATTCAGCAAGTTTATGCAGCAGCTTAGGCTCACTGTCTTGGACCTGCACTGCTAAAAATTTAAAGCGGGCCTTAGTCCGAAAATAAAACTTACCATCGTTCACAATCACAGTATTTTTTTTTTTTTTTTTTTGGGGGGATATTTTAAGTGGTACTCACACCTACTTCCTCATTCCTTACCAAGAGGATGTTGTCCCCCCAGACATCCCCCCCCAACCTCCTGGTATAACACTGCACATCCCAAGAAGCTACAGGGCCAGCCTCCCAACAGTCTGGACCTTATACACGTGCAGTAGGGGGCCAAGTGCGGGTGCTCAGGACGTGACTACTAACTCCTGAATGCAAGATCATGGTGCAAAGCAACAGGTGCTTGGAAGACGGTGTTGGACTTCATTGGCTGGTAAGCATGTGTTTCATAAAAGTCAGCAACTACAGTTCCTCTATAAAGAAAAGATCTTCAACATAAATTTCCTACCTCAAATTCTTCCGAAAATCCATGCTGATTGTTGCCATAGAGTTCACTGATATGTTTGACAAACTGATATGTTTGAGTTTGATAGGAATAGCCTCCATGTCATCTGCCAAACGAGAAAAAATAAATCGTTAAGGGGACAGATTTAGCTGCTTCTGCATCCGTAATTTTATCACAATACGTTGGAGGAAGTACCAGGAATAGCGTATCCTTTTTAGAATACAAAGGGATCGGGATCAGTTCTCTAAAACAGAATACACATGGATGTAAACTACTTTGCACATATATATGTAGCACTATGTCCCTTAGGAGATGCTAGAGATTTTGGGTCCCTCTACAGTCCTGCACAGCCAAGCATTTCCTTTTAGCTTTGCACTCCAGAGACAGTAAACAGTCCTTGAACTTGTTTTTTTTGTATTTTTATTAGGGTATTTGAACTTGGATAGGGATGAGGGATACATGGGATGCCCAAGGAACTGTTAAACAGATGATAACTTCCTGAAGCTATTTACAAGTGCTCAGAGGGCTTCTCTTCTTGGAGAGCTTTCCAGACTCTCTTGGCGTAGAAATCCCTGGACAAGGGAATTTAGAATCTGACTTTTAAAAAGTACAGTCCAGCTAGGGCTAGTTAAGTTTCCCACCCAAATCCCCTTTCCCCTATTCCCATCCAGGGGGTGTAGAAGCACTCACTGTCGCTCCTCTGTAAACTGCAGGGTGGTAGCTGCTTTCAGGCCTCCTGCTAAGCTAGCTCCTTCCTTAGCTCCACAGATTGTCCTCTCTTAGGGGGCTGGCTAGGTTCAGCTTTCCTCCTGTCAGCAACTCTCCTGGAGGTAGGCCTCTTCCCTGGGCCTCCTCCCATGCTCCGCACTCCAGGTCCTGTTCTCTTCTAACTCTCCTGCTACTAAACAGGCTCAATCAGTCTTAAGGGCTGTCCTGACCCCATGCCATGCCTCCTGCTTGGAGAGTGGTCAGAATCCCATAAGAGTGCAGACCAGCTCCACCTCACCCCCACCCATTGAGTCCTAGAGACTGCTCCAAGTTTGACCCTCTGACTATTTCTGCAGGCTGCTACTCAGCCTCTAACTAAAAGAAAATATTAACTAGCATTCCAATTAAGATGCCACACACACTATATATATATATATATATATATATATATATATATATAAAATATATAAAATGTTATTGCACCATTCAGTAGTTACATTTATCATGACCAAGTTGTGTTTTGGATTTTTTTTTAGCTCATCAAACATATTAAACAGGTTATAGTAACAGATTAAATATGCACTTTGCCTGGACCAGGGGTTTCCAAACATTCGAAACGAAAGGCCAGTTTAATGCTCCTTAAATCTTAGGTGGGTTGGACATTGGTCAGTGGGGGCAGAAAATGCCCCAGTGTCAATGAGAGTAAACAATGTCTCAGGGTGGGTGGTCAATGCCTGTGGTCAGTAGTAATTGGTATCAGTAGCAGCAATAGTGCCCCATCATTGATATCAAAGAAAGGAATAGTGCCCCATTGCTGGTGTCAGTGGAGTGAATAGAGCCCCATTACTGGTGTCAGTGGAGTGAATCTCTCATGTGCTACCCCACTACGACAATTTAATGCCAGTTGCCCCAATATACTTTGTAGCTTAACATGATACTAAAGGTTCATTTTTTTTCTTGTAATATAATAAGCAAGTCTATACTTACCTGCTGCCAGGCTGGATCTTCCACTTCTTGGGTCCCCCCGCAGGCTCTTCTGGATCCTCCTTTATGTCAGGTGCCTCCATAGCAAGCAGCTCCATAGCTATCATATCCCCCTGAGGAAGCCACATGATTCTGTGGTGCAACGCGTAGGGAAGGGGCTTTGACGTCACCACGTACCCAGCGACAGGCGGCGAGTATAGCCTGTGTGTGTAAGACACACAGAGGAGGCTCTCTGGATTTTTACAGTAGCAGTTCTTTTATGATACCCAAAAGCGAGTTATATTATATCATGTGAGTGCATATGGGGCACTAAATAAATTTACAATTTATAAAAACAATAAGGCACTATATATCTTTTCTTTCTCACTGCTAAAACGAGGGAAAAATTGTAGAGAGGAGCAGAGGGATGGAGTGAAACCCTGCAGTGCAGGGAGGGAGAGATCAGCACACAAGCAGTGATTTACCCAGGAGAATATAGAGGATATCCGAGGCTCATCCAATCTTGGAGGATTTTAACTACAATATCTAGAAAATCATCTTTAACTTGAATACAAAAGTTATGTCTGCCTTTAACTAGGCTAATATGGAGGTGAGCGCATATAAATGTTAATATTGGAGCACAGATTGAAACCACGTGTGAAAAAATCAAATTGGGACAATTATATATATAAATATATATTTTTTCTATTTATATATTTTTTCACTTTCATATATTGTTCACGCTTATACTGAATTTAATCAATTAAGTTGAATAAGGCACAGTGGATTTAAATAGATAAAATTGATTTATTATTTCACATTTTATTTTAAATATATTATAAATTATGTGGCACAGTAAATTCAAGGATAATATATATCACTATTTTATTTGAGTTTTCGTGGTTTAAGTTATGGATTAAGGAAAGATAATTGAAAGTTTGGGGCGCGGTATTTTCTTCTAACCACTTGGGTTTATTTTAGGTAGTATTTTTTTTCATATTAAAGTATATTGAGCTGGGTGGTGCCAACAGGGCTCAAATGTCATCCCATTTAGCATTAATTGGCTGAAGTTCGAACAGTTTAAGGCAAGCATGTGGCAACTTGGTATAAAACATTAAATTAATGGAAAAAAATGAAT